CTCGGACAAATTTTGTGTGATGAACATGATTATTTGTTCTGTGTCTCTGTGTAATTTATCTATAATATGTATGTATTTAGAAATTTATAAGTATGTTTATCAAAAGTCTGGTTATTATAGTACAGGCTCTACCTAGTTCCGGATGAGACTGCAGCGGGTGATTTGAAAAAATAACAATCATTGTAAGCGCTGAAATGAGGTGTTTCATATGCCTCTGCAGTCCCCTTCTACGTCACAAGCTTGAATGTATATAATATAATACACGCATTCGAATGCCACAGTTATTCATATTACTAAACACAGAAAATTGAGTCGAATAGTTCGCCGTCCTAATGAATAGTTCAAAAGGCAAGCTAATATAAGAGTTACATACAATATACTATTACCAGAAGTTCGGGTTCACTTTGATCATTTTCAGTCTGTCCCACTTGTATATAATTTAATATGGCCGTTGACATGATCAGTTTCTTTTTCTTAAACGTCAAAACGTACACTTGTAATTGTCATAAAAGCCATTGACGTCATGTATTTCCATTGTTTAACCGTTTACTTTTAAATCTCTTGTGAATAAGATAATAGTAAAAAAAAAGACTTGTGGCACTCAGGGACTGCCGTGGTAAAGCTATTGCATAGCATTTTTTATCAACTTATGCAATTATAATTATTTATTTATTTTATTTATGCAGTATTCTTTTCTTTGATATTAATTCAAGTTACACTTTTTGAGCGTGGTGACCGATAAGAAAACAATTTTTTTTCTTTTATTAAATAAATGAGAAGTTAATATTGGTCAAAATATTTTTATTATCTTACAATACATGTAGGTTATTCAGGAATATTTATCATTGAAACTATGGGTTTATGGTAACTGAAATAAGAAACATAAGTTTGTGACTTGATATCTTCTAAATACCTGGAAATTACCGCGTCACAACCAATGCCACCTAGAGGAGTTGCTGAACTAAAGAAACAAGCGTGATATTTCAAAAAAGTCATTAAACGTTCTGCTATTCATCGATGGATGGCAAAACTAAAAAGTATCACCGCTGTGCCGGTCGGAGTGGCGGGTGTTAGGTTATTTTCGTTACGGAATTTCTGGATTCGGTCTCCACGCTCAAGGCCCGCGATAGAAGCTATGCAATAGCTTAACAAGTAAATATTTTTTAAGTCTTATAAGACCATAATTTCTGTTAAAATGTTATTTCGACAATAGGCTAGTTGACTCAATTTGAAATCTTGGTTAATAGTATACTTTAATATCTATTTTATTCCAAAATCTTATATTTTAAAGAAATATTTACATTACGTATTTTGTATTTAAAAGAAACAATTTAAATTTCCCTTGAAAACGCTGAATAGTGTCATGGCATCTTGAATGACGTCACAACCTGCGAAATAAAACTGTTTACATCTGTGTTAACTTTTATGAGAAATAGACTGTTTTTTTCTTATCTATGTTTCTTCATTTATAATTTGAAACTATAAACTAAGCAATTTCTTATTATAGGACACAAGCTTATTGTCCAAGTATTTTAAAACTTCAAAAACTTTAAGCTTCAAATTGTTTGAAGATGGAATTTCAAATTGATTGTGGATCATATCACTGCCTGGTACGAAATATAGATTAGTTATTTTTAAATCGGCTGTCTTGCTTTTTTGCGCACAATGTTTAACAGGAAAACTGGTGTTTTACTAAATACGGTAGAATGAAAAACGACCATGCCTTACAGTACATATCTCGTCTATCGTGACATGTGACTTTGGCACCATTGGCTCCCAACTCTAGCACCGCAACACGAAAGGGTATAAATCAGTAATTATTATATTATTACTATTACTTCGCCCGTGTGTCAGTTAAAGAAGTAAAAAGTAGCCTTTATACACAGGATTTGTTCCTAGAACGGGAGATGTCTTTAAAAGAAATTGCCTATGAATACCTACCCATATTTATAATTTAAATATACCTATATTTCAATTTTATTGATGAAATCTATATATCAATTTAATGGCACAGTATAGTCAACATTATTATCAGATTTAATAGTCTTGTTAATTGATGTAATGATGATTCCGTAGATGTGTTTCATATTTATTTTCCCAAATTTAAGAAATCTGTCCACAGCTGTCTTGTTTCTCCTGGAAATAACTCAAATTACTATCTTTGTGTTTTTTCTAAAAAAAAAGAAACTTTAATTACTTTTGAACAGTTCTTTTTTTTCTTACTCAGATGTTTATATGTTTATACACCGGTTACCTAATGCGCATTTGTTAATTTTAGTTTTTTAAGATGTTTTTAGCGCTATTGTAAATTTATACATGGAAACTGTTTTGGATTGTGGAGTGTTTTGGAGTTTACCTGTACATTTATTTTTGTTTAATTTGTATCTATTTGTTTCCCTAACAAAATAAAATATACAATAGTATTATAAATACGATCGTGATGATATGAAACGTTATTAAAAGCAAGCAAAATAATTGAACTATGTTGAGTGACCTTCAAAAGTAAAACTATATCCTAATTTATGTCTTCAGGGTCAGCAGTATAATGGATGTCATGTGGATATAAACACAATACAATACCTCATATTATAGTATATGTTTAGATGATTGGCCGCTGAACGTTTTTTAACCCTTGTCAACGCTTCGCAATTGAAATATTCTTAATTTTCTTACTCTTCTTTCTTTCTTTCTTCTTTCTGCGCGTGCACACATTATATGTACAAAAAAACAAGGCTTGGAGGACGCTCGGTCCACGTCTGTCATCAGAAAGCAGTTCTAGCCAACTGAGTCGGTTTTTCAATTAAGCATCTGATCATGCATGATTTTCACTGTACGTCTATTTCTGTTTCATTATTTAATTATTGAAGACAGAATGGCGTAGTGGTTTGTGTAACGGACTGCTATTCCAAAGGTCGCGGGTTCGATTCCCGCTCAAGTCAAACATTTGTGTGCATGAACATTTAATGTTTGATTTGGTTTGGGTGTTTCTATGTATAATATGTATGTATTTAGAAAAAAAAGTAAATATGTACGAGTATTTATATCAGTTGTCTAGTACCCATAGTACAAGCTCTGCTTAGTTTGGGACTAGATGGCGTTGTGTAAAAAAAAACAAAAAAAATTGAATTTGTTTGTTTAATTATTTGCTTGTTTGTTACGCTTTCACGCGTAAACCACTAAACCGATTTAAACAAAAACTTTCACCAAAGAAAATTACGTGATCAACTAGTGACATTGGCTAGGTTTTACCGAGATAAACGACATACGCTCGGGTATGGCCGCGGACAAAAGCCGGTATTGAGTAAAACTTCAGAATTGATATTTAATACTGTATTTCATCTGCATTTCATTTAAGACACGACAGAATGACAATTAATTAAAATGCGTTATTCAAAGGCAACTTAAAGTTAAATAATATCCTTAAATTGATTGACATAATCTCTACATCTACTCAAATAAATAAATTTGAAGTCTGGAGTAATGTCAAAATAATAGGTTTTTTCATGCTCACACAGTTATTTGCACGATACCTATGCCCAAAAACCAGTTTACTTTTTGTTTGTCAGTCTGTTTGTTCCGGGTAATCTTCTCAACGGGTGGACCGACTTTGATAAAATTTTACTATCAGATAGCTGTCTATATAAGGAGTAACGTAAGCTATTTTTCCTCTCAGAAACCCCCTTTAAAATGTAGCCCGGTCCGGCGATCGAACCCACTAAGGCAGCGAACGAAGTCGCGGGTACCAGCTAGTATCTTAATATGACGACAAAGCCGAGGGCAGAAGTTGATGGAAATATACGAGTACCTAAATCAATTCATTTAACAAGCAATAGTCATTACATTTAATTCTTAAATACTAGCTACTCTTAAAATGGAAAAGGCCCATGTCCAATAGAGGACTATTAAAGGCTGTTGATGACGATGATTCTTTAAATGGGAGAGGCCTACGTCCAGCAGAGGATTGCGATATGCTGATGATGATGATGGTTCTTTAAGAATTATATTCCTTATCTTTCTTTAGTAAAGATCAAGAGATCCATCGCTCATCTTGAAGTTAATGATGACAGACAAATTGCATTAACTTAAAATTGATTGCACTCAACTGTTACAGAATTTGTGTTTGCACATCTTTGTGAATGTGAGCCACTCACATTAATATTCATTCAATACTAGTGAAAAGGCCAAAACCTCCTTTCTAAGGAGATGCCTATGTCCAGCAATGAAATATTTAAGGCTGTTGATGATGATGATGAATGGATTAAATTTGTTACGTTAGCAGTATGCGATGGAAATCGGATGATGAGGGTTAATAATATTGGCATTTAAATTGGCGACGAAATTAGGATGTAAAAACAAAACTTCCCACGACCTTTGTAAAAGGACAGGGATGAATCTCCAGTAATTTGAATATCAAGGGAACAATTAGCCTCGGTTCCTGGGAATATCTGGTATAAATAATATTAATCCACGGATCACTAAACCATAGCCATAACCATAGTTAAATTCTTTCAAGACATAAAAATAGCTATTAAATCATACTTAAGATTGAAAACATATTTTTAAAAAATTTAAGTACGAGTAGTTATCTATTTAAAACTACAGTTTTTATAACTTGTTTTTCGCTTAAATAAACATACAATCTAGTTTGACGAGTCCGATACTAATGTTCCTTACGTCCAAGGTAGACAAGTTGACGTGAATACACAACACACATTCAGACACATCTGTACAGTATATGCACTCACTTGTTTCATATCATTTAGAACTTGTTAAATCCACTATCTGATACTTTAGATCAACTAATAGTCTATAAATCGTTAAATATTTTCAGGATGACGTCATAATAAAATTTCCTACAATAATTGGGCATTCTTGAGGAAATTTTTTAATTACAAAATTTCGCGAATAACAAAATGAATTCTGAAACGCGTGCTGCAGAGATCTGTTTGGAATTTACCCAAAGGAATTTCTCATATTTAACACATGAAGTCCAGTTGTGTTTAATCCTCTTCAATGCATATTCCCTTGACTTTTACAGAACCTGCGGCGCATTCGTCGCCAGCCAACGCTATTCGGTCTTCTGATTTTTTCAATTTTAAAGTGATTTCTATCGGAGTCGGATCAATTCCAAAGATGTCGTATATTTCTTCTAAACTACACGTTTTATTTTTACAACTTGTTGGTGTATCCTTAATTTTCTCTGTTCTAGGTTTCGTAAGTTTAATAACGTCGTATTCGTCAGGAAATACGATTCGGAGTTGTTTTTCTGAAGGTTTGTATAAGTTTGGAACCTTTGATGTTACTTGTGTTGTAAACACCACTAGAATCACTACGAGAGTATACTTCATTGTTAAAAACAATATTTTTATAGTCGCGACGAAATTACGGAGCGGTCGCGGTCGTGCGCAAATAGCAACTGTGTTCTTTTTAATGTAGTGTTCGGTATTCATGATGTGAATGATTTATGAGTTGAAGTGTTCTTGTATTTTTTTCTATTCGCAGCTAAGCAACACCCAGACCAATGATGTGGTAATTTATAACATACTGTTAAATAATCTGTATTTTTATCTCGACTCCTGTCACTAACTGTTTTTAGAAGAAGAATGTCTGTTATAGGTATCAAAATACAGCAAAAGATGTGAGGAAACAGCAGAAGAAGAAGAAAAAGCCGGAAGGCCGTCTACAAATCATCTGCATATGGCATTAATAATGACTAGTTGACTGTAACGTGGCGGCAGTGCTTTCCACTGACGCATGGAGAGTCGTAGTTTCTTTTTCCACTCAGTGCAACAACTTGTAAGCGTGAATACCTATGTATATTTGCATTAGTACCTATAATATGTAACATACACAAAAAACTGTGGTTTACAAAAGCCAAAGTACATGAAAATTTTAAATATTAAGACACGCATCTTGCACGTCACCGATGACAAGGTTTACAAAAAGGGAATCACTTTTTTCAAATGCTTTTCCTAATGTAAGTGTAAATGTCTGAATAACATATTACGAATTGTCCCATTGAACTCATTCTATTAGGGTTTTCGGAGGCTTCTTTGTAAGAGTATCTCCGGTCCTCTGCAATAGACGCATTTGTGACGGAACACAGTGTGGTTTTAGTCGGATCCAGTCCAACATACCAGTTTACTATCGGCTCTAGCAAAGTTATCTAGCTTTCGTTGTACAAGCTTCGCTTAGTTTGAAACTAGATGGCGGTTTGTGTCAGATGTCAGAAATATATGACAAATTTGTATTCGATGCCAAATAATAATATTAACACATATTTTATTATACACTTTGTATACGTCTGGCTTCAAGCTAGACAGAGCCTGTACTATGGTACATAATTATAAATACATAATAATATTTTTTTTTTTTTTTCTCTAGGTGCGTATTGAACCTACGACCTCCGGCTAAGCTATTAGGTCCAATTAAAATATGTTTTTAAAATTTGCAATGGTATACCTCCAGTTTGATCCAATTCCAATTTGAAGAAAAAGTACGATTAAGTACAATTTATCATGATATTATACGCGTATTGAAGATAGTTATTGATAGATAGCTTAGTTTTTTTTTAATGGTATAAGAGGGCAAACGAGCAGACGGGTCTACTGATGGTAAGCATCCACCGCCGCCCATGGACACCTGCAACTCAAAAGTTACAAGTGTGTTGCTGCCCTTGGAGTCCCTCCCGCTCGAATCAGCGGGAGGGGGGATTTGGGCTCCGGTACCCTCACTCACTCAGTGAAAGGCAACGAAAGAATTGCTCAACACTGGTTTGCTGTGAGGCCGTGGTAACACTACGGCCGAGCCGGCCCATTCGTGCCGAGGCACGGCTCTCCCACTGATATTATTGATTATTTCGTGTTTATAACTTTGAAAATAACGAACTTTCATTCTAGTTTATCCCTTATGGGTGTTCCTCCTTATTTATATAAAAATAAATGTATGTTTTAATATGTATGTATACTATATTAAAACATACATTTATTTCTATTGATGGTCTGGGATCCCTCCAAACTTTACCTTTCGCTTGATTCCTCTTTTTATACCTACGTTGTCTTCATATTTCACGTATGCGAAATCCCCCAGGCAATATGTAAGGAACAGGGAACACCAAAGCCATTACTCGAAACTATCACCATTAACAATGGAAGTTTATATCAGTTTTATCGGCCATTACCGTGTGCACTGCGCAGCGTCGCGACACGTACTTCCATAATACATACACCTACTGCCTTATATGTAATATTAGCTCGTGGAATTTGAAAAGCGACAACTTAGTGGGTTCGATTCCTGGACCGGGAAAAATTGTGTGGGGTTTTCCTGAGAGAAAAAATAGCCTAAGTTACTCCTTATATAGACAGCTACCTGGTAATAAAATATTAAATTCAGTCCAAAGGAGATTAGCCAAAACAAATAGATAAAAATATTTAAACTGGTTTTTAGGAATAGGTATCGTGCAAATAATATATATATATATATATATATATATATAGGTAGGTATAAATAGGTAGATATTTATCACATGCCAGCGAAGATTTTTCAAGCATTGGTTCAAAGAAACTTTAGCATTTGGTAATAAAATATTTCGAGATACCTATGTGTTATTCCAGACTCTGACTATGTATTCCTGGGAGAGTAGTGCGTGGTGACATATGGGCCAGGTTCGACCCGAGTTAGGCCACGGCCTCATAGAAAACCGGTGTTAAGCAGTTTGATGGGCATGTTGGTCCAGCGGCTAGAGACCCTGACCGCTAAGCCGGGATACTCAGGACAAATGTTGTATGATGAGCACGGTCATTTGTTCTGTTTCTGGGTGTAATTTATCTAAAATATAAAAGTATGTTTATCAGCAGTCTGGTTACCATAGTACAGGCTCTATCTAGTTATGAATCAGACTGCCGTGCGTGAGATGTGTGTGGTCACCGAAGACCAAACCCTTCCCTAACTCTGGCGGGGGGGGGAGGGGGGGGGGGGCAGCAACGAACTTATGACTTTTGAGATACAAGTGTCCATGGATGGCGGTAGTCACTTACTATCAGGTAGCACTCGTCTACCCGTTTGTCACCCTATACCATAATAATAATAATAATAATAATATAATTTATTTCAGAAATCTTGTTCCATATACAAAAACAATAATTAATTACATCATATCATCAATCACAATTTACTTAAAAATAAATAAATAAATAAAATGAATTAATATTTGAAAAGATTATTACATTACTTCATTGAATAAGATTAAAATTAAAATTAGGACATGTCACAAAATCAAGTAAACAATCATAAAATAGTTAATTAAATAGTAAAAATTTGATGTCATAAATTAAATTACCTACCCTAACCCAACCAGCACAGTCGTCCAATGGTGGCTGATAGGACACTCGTAACTTTCACCAACCGCCCTCAGGATACTGTTGCAACTGCCGCACACTCTATTCATAAGCGAGGCTACTTTTTTTGCGCATGATTGCATAAAAGTCATTAACCCGCGCCTCTGCAAACATGCCAGATGCGCTGCAGTGCCACGGCAGTCTCATCAGCATCCTGAAGGCATTATTGTATTGCACACGTAGAGCGCTGTAAGCCGTCCGCGTGTATTTCACCCATAGACTGCCAGAGTAAAAAGATTGACAAAAAGCTTTGAAAAGAGTTATTTTTACCTGTTCTGAAGCTCGTGCAAATCTACGGGCGATCATATTGCTTCTGACCGCCAACGCCCTACGCTCACGCTCAATATCTTGGTCATCTTTCAGGTCTTCTGTAACAATGTGACCTAGGTACTTGTATTGCCTGACTCTAGACTCTAGAATAATAATCTCACACACGAGCGTCTGATCCCAAACTAAGCAGCGCTTGTACTACGATGACCAGACTACTGATAAACATACTTATATATTTCTAAATACATACGTATGATGGATTATTACACCTGGACACAGAACAAACGATCGCGCTTATCACACATTTGTCTGGGGTGGGAATCGAACCTCCGGCTTAGCAATCAGGGTCACTAACCACTAGACCCACAGTCCCGAAAAAAAATGATATACCCCTGCACTAAATTTCACTCAGATTTGTTAAGCCATTCTGAAGCGAATGAGTAACAAACGGTGATTTTAGGTTCGTGTTAGAGATCGCATAAATAACGTTAAAAGAAAAAAAAGAAGAATTCGTGAGTTTTCTAAATTTAAAACTTAATCTTATTTTAAAACTGACAACATGAAGTTGTAAACAGACCGATGAAGCTAATCTTCGAATGAGAGAGCACACAGAACTACAGTCGACTTACTACATCAAGTATCTGATGCAGGACCAAAGCTACGACTCGAAGAGGCTTGTGTCGTGTATAAGTCAATCCCGAGCTTTGAGGGACTTGGACGGGGAGATCTACCGGCTTATTCAGTTGTAAAGTGGTGTTCATTTATAGTAAGGGATTGATTATATAATATTAACATGTGACGGATTAAGAATACAGAGTGTCACCACCCCTATTCATCCCGTGGGTGTCGTAAGAGGCGACTAAGGGAGAAAACTACGCAGGACAACAACACTGCAGAGAGAAGGAAAACTTGAAACAAACCCTGTACCAACCCGTCTGGCCAGCGTGCTATAGTAGGCCAAAACCTCCTTTCTAAGGGGAGGCCTATGTCCAGCAGTGGACTAGTAAAGGCTGTTGATGATGATGATGAACATGTTGTATATAAAATGCATTAATATTACATATATTTAGTGCGCATAAGAAGAAAACACGCTTAGAATTTTCAGAACGTCTACTGATAAACCCTTCGGAATATAATATCTAACACTGTACCAATAGGAGAATAGTTGCTGTTACAGCATGACCGCGATTACTCCGTGATTTTATGGCGAATCTAAAAATCATTTTTCAATATCAATGCTGCCAGTATCATGGGCACCTTTGCACCGGGAGCAACGCGGGTTATATGATCTGACTTGAATTGTACGTATTCATTGCATATTGTATACTAATAAATGTATATTTATTTTTTTCAATAAAGAGTATTCATAAGGAAGTATACTGTTATAGTGATTCTAGCGGTGTTTACAATACAAGCGACGTTAAAAGTACCAAACATATACCAACATCCAGAATAATCCATCCAGTCTTTTCTGAAGACATTATTAAAGTCAAGAACATTAGAACAGAGATAAATTAGGATACACCAAGAGGTTACAGAAACAAAATATGTAGCTTAGAAGATATATATCGCAATTTTGAAATTAAACCGGTCCCGACATCAGACTGAATGGGTACAAGGGAACGAGTGGTGTTCGTTGGTGATGAATACACCAAACGTTCTGTAAAAGTCGGTGTAATGTG